AGGAGGCTGACGCGCGACCACTGCGAGATAACGTTCGAGGTCGAATCGCCTGCCGTCCGAAATCTGCATGGAAGGGTATCGTTTTTCCTGGAATCAACCTCGACGCAAAAGTCGCCGAAACCGCTTTTCGGCACTGCGCTCAAAGGAGATGCCGCTCGTCTCTCTCTCTCTCTGATTCACCGATTCTACGCACTAGCCTGCGCTATGAAGTTAGGGACAAAAGTTCTGGAAAAATTCCTGGAGGATTGCATCAGCGATGCTGCGCAATTCTGCGAGATAACGTTAGAGGTCAAACGGGCTGAGGGCTGACGACCGAAACCTGCACGCACGTGTACGGGTCCGTCGAAGCTTCTGGATGGCTTTCCGGGTTGGGGGGCAAGGGGCTGTCTCAAAACGTCGAGCGAGAGGACCGCAGGCTCTGGGAGCGAACCTTCCCGACTTAGCACGGACACGAACCGTCGAAGCTTCCAGAATGTTCTAGAAGGTTCTAGAATGTTCTAGAAGGTTCTAGAATGTTCTAGAAGGTTCTAGAATGTTCTAGAAGGTTCTAGAATGTTCTAGAAGGTTCTAGAATGTTCTAGAAGGTTCTAGAATGTTCTAGAAGGTTCTAGAATGTTCTAGAAGGTTCTAGAATGTTCTAGAAGGTTCTCGATCGTGCGTAATTCATAGAATCGAGCGCTAAATTCCCGGAATGTGACACAAAATTCCCAGAATCGAGCAAAAATTCTTGGAATCGAGGGTCCTGATGACGTCACTTTCAGAAATCGTAGAGCTCACGACGGCAACTTAGCACGGACACCCACCTTCGAAGGCTCTGGAGTGTCGGTATTATGTCGGTGCAGGAATCTATATTCGGAACCCCCAAACTTATACTACTTTCCTTGGGCAATCTAGTGTTAAAAAAGTTTATCAGAAATTGCAATTATTTTTGCACCCACCTAATATATTATAAGACATTTGAAGCAAAGCATTGGAACTTATCCATATCTACATTGGATTTTACTTTTGTATGATATTGTAGCAAGACAAGTACCTAAAAATATTTCTTCAAAAATCACAAAAGAAGTGTGTTCAGAACTTTGAAAATAATACAACAATTTTTTTGTCAAGCCTCTTTTCATCAGATTATAGTAAAATATTCGTTGTTAATATAAAATATATCAGAAGTCAATTTTCCCCAAAAAAATGAAATGAATACTTTATGTACATTGCGCATGTTGTTAAAATTTGAATTTCGTACTCTAGTTAAAAACTTACATTCTAACGGACGTGATGATAATGTTAAGTTTTCTTGCAGTTTGAAACCACGTTCTGGATTTATACGTTTCCAAGTATAATCATGTTTCTGCGTGGTGATCTCTTGCATCGGACCACTGCCCAGCCATTGCTTCTCACAAGGAGTGATTGAATTTTCTGGTTTTACGCACCAATTGCCCACATAACTCAACTAATATATGAATTTGATTATCAGTAATCAATCATCATTCTTAATTGATAATTTTTCAGCAATAAAGACAATCTAATTAAATATAAAGATCTAAATATCTTCTCACTCGATGTGTTGTATCATATGAAAGTGGACATGAAGAGAATATAACGTTTTCTGTCTGTCTTATAGTTTCACGTTTATCACTTCCACAACCATAGTAACTAAGCTTGTAAGTAGTATTATCATCAAAGCAGCAATTTGCATTTAATATATTGTTACTTTCCTGAAGACTGAATGGCTTTCGGGGTTCTTGGCAATTAGGCCAATAACTTAATTTATAAGTCGTACAAACATCCATAGGTTGTATTGGAGGATGGTATTCATTTTGTTTAGTCCATGGACACTCTTCCTATAAAGGTGGCATGTCATTAGAAATTGAATTTCTAATAATTGAATTTTCTATTTCTTTATAACTTTTGAATAAATGTATACTTAAAGATTCAATATAATGAAATCGAAACGCTTCATTCTAACTAATAAGAATAAACTATTGTAGGATTCTAAACTTTAGGTGCCTTGCCATGTCAGCGTGGTAGATGGAAAAAATAATAATAGACAAGCCTAGACTGCTCACCCTAGGCTTATAGAATCGAATGTCTCGGTGTGTGTATGCGTGTGGATGGATGAGTGTGAGAGAGATGTACGAGTCAGTAATGTACACGACGCTGTAAAGATCGGACAAAATAAAAACGGAAACCTCAAAGATATGAGAACAGTGATTTCGCGCCTTACCTATATATACCCATGTAAAAATCCTACAATATTTGGGGGCTCGTCCGGGATATAGGTTGGCGAGCGCGAAAAACCGGGGATTAACGAATCGGTAGCCGGTGTAAGACGCCATTACGGTAGGACGACGAGGAGACATTGTGTGTTGAACCGATTAAATAACGGGCTCTACGATGAGTTTGGTAATGAAGGACCCGAATGAGTTTACGGTGGCAGAATTGAAAGAAAAATTAAAAGCAATGGGAAAAAGTTCGACAGGATCGAAAGCCGAACTAATCACGAGATTGATGACGGTAGACTCATCAGGAGCATGGATGTGTATACCGAATGAGGAAAAGCAACATGGCGGCGGACGGAGATCGGAGCGATTGATCGAAGCCGGATCAAGCGGGATGTCTAACGTTTCTGGAACGACAGGAGGAGCACGGTTATCCCAGCAACAGGGTATCGGTATGAACTAGAGCTATATCGGAGAGAAAAGGAGCTAGCTGAGCGCGAACTTGCGATCGCACGCCGCGAAATTGAATGGCTGCAGCGAAGTTCGGGCGGTTTGGACGAATTAGATAGACGGTTGCCGATGAGTAGAAATTCTTCAACTTCAAGGGTTAGTGTTAACGCAGTAGTGGATTTGCTATACCATTTCGAAGGAAATGGCGAGGAATATAAGAACTGGGGAAACAAGTGGAATTACTTAGGGAAACCTATGACCTAGGAGACCACCTGACGAAGATTTTGATTGGATTGCGGCTCAAGGGCAGAGCGCTCAATTGGTTTCATTCAAAAGCCGAACACATTCGAATGCCAGTTAGCAACTTATTGGCTGCTTTGAAAGCTATGTTTTCGCACCGACCAAATAGGGTCGCTGCTCGGAAACAATTCGAAGAGAGAGCTTGGAAACGAGGTGAAGCCTTTAGCGAATACTTTCATGACAAGGTCATCATGGCGAATCGCGTTCCTGTTGATGATGAAGAAATCATCAACTATATTATCGATGGAATTCCGGATTTATCTCTGAGAGACCAGGCACGGATTCAAAACTTTGAGACAAAAACATCGTTATTGAAAGCGTTCGAGAAGGTGTCGATCCGATCCAGAGGACAACCGGGCAACATCGCGGTTGCAAGGACTGCGGACCGGGGCCAGCAGCTACAGAGCAGAGGAACGATGGAAGGACAGGCGGGCGTTAGACGGTGTTACAGTTGTGGGGAGCAGGGTCACATGAGTGCGAAATGCCCTTTAAAACTGCGTGGGACACGGTGCTTCCGATGTTCTGATTATGTCGCATGTTGCAGCAAGGTGCCCTAGGAATGATGGAGCAGTGAAGGAAGCCAATACCGTAAGAGACGATTTAAGCAATGCGCGATCTATCCGTGGAAAATACCGAAAGAATATTAGAATAGCTGGTTGTGATGTGGTCGCTTTAATTGATACTGGTAGCGACATCTCGTTAATGCGGGCGGACCAATACATAAAAATTGGAGCACCTCGTTGGCATGATGAGGAAATAGAATTTCGCGGAGTCGATTCGGCGAATAATAGAACACTCGGAAAGTTTTGCGAGTCAATGACAATTGACGAAAATTCGTATCCTGTAACTGTGCATGTCGTTTCGGATAATCTTATGCAGCATGATTTTTTAATAGGCGTAGACTTTTTGAATACCATTGAGATGACCATTAGAGATGGTAGAGTTTCAATTTCGAGGCCAGATGATAGCGCGTCAACAAACCCCGACCTACCGGAAATATTTGTGATCGACGAAGTTCAGGAGGTAAACAAAGTTGATCTAGCGCACCTAACAAATGACGAGCAATGGTGTGAAGTAAATAGCCTTCTTGAGAATTATAAACCAGATAAGGTACGCGATGTCGGCGTAAAGATGAATATAATTGTAAAGGACGACGAACCAGTTTATCAGCGTCCGAGACGGTTATTCATCCTAGAAAGGATCATTGTAAACAATCAGATTAGCCAATGGTTGAGCGATGGCATCGTTCAGCCGTCTGTTTCCGAGGACGCAAGTCCAATTGTTTTGGTCAAAAAGAAACATTGATCAATGAGGTTATGCGTAGACTATCGTATGATTAATAAGAAGATAGTGAAGGACCGCTATCCGCTACCGCTGATAGAAGACCAACTAGACCAGTTGCAAGGTGCAAAAATCTTTACAACCTTGGACCTGAAAAACGGTTTTTTTCATGTTGACCTAGAAAAGGAAAGTCGAAAATATACCGCTTTTGTCGTGCCGTATGAGCATTACGAATTTTTAAAAGTATCGTTCGGACTTTGTAATTCTCCGGCAGTATTTCAAAGATTTATAAATGTAGTTTTTAAGGATCTAATCGCAAGCAGCACCGTATTAACGTATATGGATGACTTAATAATACCGTCGGTGGATATTAGGGATGGCATAAAGGGTCTTAAAGCGGTCTTGGGCATAGCAAGTCAATTTGGATTGTCAATTAATTGGGAGAAATCTCATTGTTTGCACCCCAGCGTAGAGTATCTCGATCATGTAGTTGAGAAAGGAGGCGTTCGTCCATCTGAGGGCAAAACCAGGGCAGTAGTAAAGTTTGCGTCGCCCAGTAATGTAAAACAAGTCCAGAGTTTCTTAGGCTTAACAGGATACTTCCGCAAGTTCATACCGGGTTATTCGACAATCGCGCGCCCATTGACGAATTTGCTGAGGACAAATGTAGAATTTCAGTTCGGAATTGAAGAAAAACAGGCGTACGAGCAATTAGAAGCGGCATTGACCAGTAAACCGGTGCTACAATTATATAACGTAGACGCGGAAACGGAGCTGCACACCGATGCATGTGCAAATGGTTATGGTGCAATGTTGTTGCAGCGCAATAGCGAGGATGGTGCCCTACACCCGGCGTATTATGCGAGTGGAAAAACTTCGACGGCCGAAGAACGCTACACGAGCTACGAGCTCGAGGTTTTAGCTATCGTTAAGGCTTTACGCAAATTCAGAGTATACTTGTTAGGAATAACGTTCAAAATTGTGATGGACTGTCAGGCATTCGTCATGACAATGAACAAAATAGACCTCTGCGTGCGAGTGGCACGGTGGGCCTTACTGCTCGAAGAATTCCAGTATGTAATCGAAGACCGTTCAGGCAAGAGTATGTTGCATGTGGATGCGTTGAGCCGTAACCCCCTTTCTTCGTGTTTGTTGGCGGACAGAGCGGAAACAGGACTCGTGGCGCAGATTAGGAGAGCGCAGCGACCAGATACAAGCCTAGAGAAGATCCTTGATTCTGCAAAGCATAATCAGAGCGATGGGTTCATCATACAGGCTGGCCTATTGTATAAGCAGGACGATGTAGGCTATTTACGGTTGGTGGCGCCCAAAGCAATGCAGTATTAAGTAATCAGGCAGGTGCACGAGAATGGGCATTTTGCCACCGACAAGACCGAAGCGCTTTTAAGGCGGGATTATTCGTTAAGGGATCTAAGGTTCAAGGCCGAGAAGGTCATCCAAAACTGTATAAATTGTATATTAGAAAAAAAAAAAGGAAAGCAGGAAGGTTTTCTGAACATGATTGAGAAGGGGGATGTGACCCTGGATGTCTACCATATCGACCATCTTGGGCCCTTATCCTCTACGAAAAAGAGGTATGCGTACATATTTAACAAGGAAAGCAGGAAGGTTTTCTACACATGATTGAGAAGGGGGATGTGCCCCTGGACGTCTACCATATCGACCATCTTGGGCCATTACCCTCCACGAAAAAGAGGTATGCGTACATATTCGTTGTGATAGACGCGTTTACGAAATTCGTATGGCTGTATACTACACGAACGACCAATGCGGTTGAGGTCATTGATCACCTGAGAAAACAGTCGGTGACTTTCGGAAACCCTAGGAAAATTATATCAGATCGAGGAACAGCTTTTACATCGCGGAATTTTGAGGATTATTGTAAAGAAGAACTTATACAGCATAGCCTAATCACCACTGGTTCCCAGGGCCAACGGGCAAGTGGAACGCGCGAACCGAACACTCATTCCGTTGCTTACTAAATTGTCCATTCCAAAGTCAGGCGAATGGTATAAACATCTGAATGCAGCTCAAAGATATTTGAACGTTACGCCGCATCGAAGCACCAATACATCACCCTTTCAATTATTGTTTGACACACACATGCGATTAAAGAGCAATCCTGAGATTAAGCAGCTGCTCGAGAGTGAATGGATTGGTATGTTTCAAGAAGATCGAGATGAGGCAAGACGCCGAGCTAAGGAGAGTATTCGGAAAATTCAACAAGAGAATAGAAGAAATTCTAGCAAGAAAAGAAAAGCAGCAAAATCTTATAACATTGACGACCTGGTGGCGATTAAACGTAGGCAGATGAAACCAGGGTTAAAATTAGCTATTAAGTTTTTAGGGGCTTATCAAATCACGAGAGTGCTGTGTAACGATCGATATTGCGTTCAGAAAATCGGTGAACATGAAGGACCACGCGAGACAATAGCGACAGCGGAAAATCTGAAGCCATGGATTCCTTACAATGATCATCCTTCCGACGATGATGTCTCGGATGAGGAGTGCGAGGGCAATTGAGGGCAGATGCCTGACCAGGATGGCCGATTGTAGGATTCTAAACTTTAGGTGCCTTGCCATGTCAGCGTGGTAGATGGAAAAAACAATAATATACAAACCTAGACTGCTCATCCTAGGCTTATAGAATCGAATGTCTCGGTGTGTGTATGCGTGTGGATGGATGAGTGTGAGAGAGATGTACGAGTCAATAATGGACACGACGCTGTAAAGATCGGACAAAATAAAAACGGAAACCTCAAAGATACGAGAACAGTGATTTCGCGCCTTACCTATATATACCCATGTAAAAATCCTACACTATAGTTCAATAGCAAAAATAATTTGTTCAAAAGTTATAACAATTACAAAAAAACGTGTCATGAAGAACAGGGTTTCGATTGTGTAATTCAAATGTAGTGAAACTGCGAAAAGTGAATAGCTGTTAACCAATCGCATATTAGGTTTAAAAGAAGACAAGCACAGCGATTGGCTAATAGCTATTCACTTTTCGTATTTTCGCTACATTTGAGTTACACATCGACTCCCCAAATAAAATTTGTGTGATTTCTCCGGTCCACTGGAACAGTAGGTAAAGCTAGGGTTAATACAGTGGAACTTCGATAAACTCGAATCTTAAGGGAAACGAAATATGTATGCTTCGAGCTATTGTAACTTCGACCTGCAGGGATTTTCGAGTTATAGAAATAAAGCATTAGGAAATCCAAATACTGTCTTAGGCCCATATTCAGAGTCTGTTCTTCGTTTTAAGCACGATCGTAAGACATCCTCTACCATGTGTTATTATTACTATATCTAAGGTCTTAAGACTGTGCTTGAGACGAAGGCTTATGGCCAATTTCTTCACCTTCAGAAAAAATTTATCCTTGCGGATAAACTTCTAAAACTTGAAAATGATTGGTTAGCTGGGGATTTATCCGGAGGATAAATTTTATCCGAAGATGAAGAAATTGGCCCTTAAGCATAAAAGTTATACTCCTGGAAGGGGAATAGCCTACTCTAGCAATGAGTGGAAAGTGGCCCCAACATGTTGAGATAGAGATATACATATGTATCTCTCTCTCTTCGTTCGTAACGTTCAGTTCTTCTCATTGCGTAAGCGCGCACTACACAATCATAACAACTGCTGCCTCCAATCACTGAACTCTAACCATACTAGAATCCGAACGGCAGTGGTGGGGACCGCGCAGAAAGAGAGATAACAAGAACACAGGTGAGTGTAACAGCCTGTCTCTATCACACACTGTACAGTGTCTGAAAAAGATTAAGCTGGGATAAAGCAATGCGCATGGGGAGGACTAAGCCAATATAACATAACCTGAAATAGTGGCACATACATTTTACTTCGAAGACTGCTAAATATTTTTTTGTCATTTTTATAAGGCTCTATATTTATATGATGAAGCCTAGATAGGATTTATATGTACTTGTATCTCAGTACTCTTTCCATTGCACCATGGCTGGCACTGATATGCCGGCAAGACAACATTTTTGCAGGGCTTGTACACCACATGCACCGGTTAACTAGAAAAGGACAACCTCATCCACAATGTGAGTAAGACAGCTGCGTGCTTGCCGGGTTACCTCCGAATACGTCATTCCTCTTTCAGGAGTATAAGTTCTATGTTTTAAGACCATAGATATAGTAATAACAGAATGTCTTAATATCGTGTTTAAAACGAATAACTAACTATGAATACGGGTCTTACACAGGTTTTTTACTTATATAAGTTCGAGTTATCAATGTCTAACTGTAATTCAGATAGTTACCTTCGCTGGCATCTCGTTAGGCCAGTAACTTAATCTGTAGGTTGTGCATCCATCCATAGGCACATCCGATTTTACATATCTTCTAATTGGTGAATATGATTTCATTGGAATATTACATGCGGAGCCATAGTAGCTAAGTCTATAAGTTGTGTCATCTAGAAAGATATTGATTATCAGCCAGTTTGAAAAATTGGATTAAAATCAATAGAAACCGATAGAGATCCGATTCAATGTATATGTATTCACCATACAGGGTTAAAATAGAGTTAACCAATGAAGTTAGTTTATTCCGCTCAAGTCTCGTTTTTAATTGGTTAACTCTATTTCAACTCTACACGGTGAAAACATGCAATTACAATCTGGAGCTCGATTATGTAACTCAAATGTAGTGAAAATACAAAAAGTAATTAGCTGGTAACTAATAACGTGTTAGAGTCAAAAGAAGACAAGCACAAACATTGGCTAACAGCTGTTCACTTTTAGCATTTTCCCTGCATTTGAGTTACACAATCAGCCCCCTGATATAATCAGGGCAATCACAAGCATTTTTATTGCGATTGAAAATTAATGATTAAGTTATCACGTGACTTTATTGGTAATTACTCCATGGGCAACAAATTTTGTATTGAAAGTTATAGGAATCTCATTAATTTTCAGTCGTAAATATCAATAAGATTTGATAAGAAATTTCCGACGCACAAATTTGATTCTTGCCGACTAACATAAGTATTTTAGTTAGTGCCTTCTAAAAATTAACTGGGCCGTAATAGTTTGGCATAATCATATTTAATATTAATATCTTCCACCCATTTCAGTAAATTATCTACTTTTTGTAATAAAAGTATATTTTATGTACCAGACATAGTTGAAGCAGGACAATATAAATTCTGGCGCGCATTATACGCTTCTGTTCTTTCACCGTGTTTCCAAATGTAATCATGTTTTTGGGTTGTAACATCTTGCATTGGACCTCTACCCAGCCATTGCTTTTCACAGGGAGTTATTGAAGTTTCAGGCGGAATGCACCAATTTCCTAGAAAGCTTAACTAAAATTTATAGAATTACAAAGGGAAAGAAAAATTTGCTATGATAAACAAACAGTGTCTTATCAGTTTTAATATTATTATTAAGCTTAGACAAACCAAGGTATCTTACGTTGCAAATTTAAACTAATTGATTTATATATATATATATATATACTTTATGTGTCGTTTCATCAGCCATGGGACTATCTGCTATAGTCAAAGAATCTTCAGGACGAAAGGGATCCACTGACGACGTAGGTCCTTCCCAATATGAGAGTCGGTAAGTTGTGTTATCGTCCATTGGTACATGAGAACGCCAATAATACTGTTATAATAATAGTATTTGACATACAAGTTTTTTTTGTATATATTTATGGATTATTTAGAAATAGAAATTTTATATTCTTCAATATTTTGGAAATGTACACGAAAAACAAATTTTAAGTGTTTTAGACCCAATTGCTCCGACATAGCTCAATATGTAGACTTTGTTTATCTTCAAGACGAAAGTATCTCATTGATTAATCGCATAGTTGGTCTAAGTTTAAACAATAAGCTATGTTGGTGAAATCAACTTTTACCGTTTTAGATTATTTGCACTAATATTTGAATTGAACGATTGACAACAAATTTTTTATTATTTTAAATTGACAGATTTTTTCATATCGTTGTTAAATATAAAGTGGGGCAAGTTTGCATATCAAAAACTGTTAAAATGTTTCTTTTTTAATAGGAGGAAAAAATATACAATTTTTCGGACTCACGCGAATAGGAGTATAGGACTTTGGAATCTTTGGTTGAACATATTTCTAAAAATGAAGTAGATTATAGTAAAATGCACAATTAAAAATTAGCGATATTCTCTCTTACATGTAAATATGTACAGTAGGACTTCGATAACTCTAACTTTTGTAAGTCAAAGAATTCTATAAATATGAGTTTTTAAATTTTCTATTTCTTCATTTTTATAACTTGAAAAATCCAATAAGCCATAATAACTACGATAAGTCGTAACATATTTCGTTTCTCTTGAGGTTCAAGTTACCGAACTACCACTGTATATATGTATAAGATGCTGTCAATAATTAACAAACAGCTAACAGTATAAAGCTATGTAACCCTTACGTAACATGCAGGCTGAAATGTACAACAGCAGCAACAGTTGCAGCACTCATCGTGACCTAACTTAAAGAAAAATTTTGAAAATTATATTTCAAGTTTCTCAAGTCATAATAAATGGCGCGGAAAACTTCATTCCTAAATGTGAATTCAAGTTCGAAGAATCCCATTCAGTCGTTCGTAATAATCCTACTAAAATTAGAATTAACTATTCCATTTGCGAACATTGGCGTTCTTACACGAATTTTATTTTTAGCCTCGATAATGGATTTTCGGCGAGGATGCTTCTCTCTGCATTTCAAAAGAGAATAGAAAATTTGTTTTATTAACCACTTATCAGTCGCAGTATAGTCATCTATCTTATCTGATAATAACGAATGGAAATTTTCAGCACTTACGAATTCGGTGGACAAATATCCATACTTCTGTACAAATTTTGCAGTTTCTAATTCGTGAATTAAAAAAATTTGACATTTATAAAAATCACATATGTCAAATTTGTCAATAAAAAATATATGGATTGAAGCTGCGTGAACGTGGGCGTTAAAAAGAGGTATGTGTCAGATGTTCGTCAAGTTCAAGTGAAATTTAGATAGTGGTATCAACATCTTCCATGGATATTTTCTTTTTAATTTCTTTTCGTTCATTTTTAATGTACTTTAAATTGAGGGATAAACAGATTAGAATTTACCTTTTTTGTGAGAATATTCTATTTAAACAATTAACAGCAATGATATACATCCCATTATATAACAAAGAGGAGCTCCCATTCTAAACAAAAGGAGCAGGTCAAAGTTGGCCAATCAAAGCGAGGCGTGAAGAGAAACGTAGGCACCTACGAACTCAGAGTTTTCTTCCCTCGCTTTTGATCTCGGTGGCTTCGGGCAGGACGACGTCAGCCGAAAACATGCCTATTCGATGTCACTCGCTAAAAAAAAACTATTAAAACTAAAAAACCCACTGATCACGAAAATGACCTTCCTTTTCTGCGGAAGGTCATAGTTTTTAAATAGTATCAGCTCAAAGTTGTTTGACTCTTAGTTTTTTTCCCTCGCTATTGTTAAGACATGCCTATTCGATATCACTCGCTGAGAACAGAAGTTCTCAATTGAACAGTCAAGCACTAACTGAAAACTGCAATGTTCTATGATAATGCCATCTGACTTACACAGATAATCCTGATCTCGTTTTTCTTCCATTGATCTCCAGCGATTCGTGCTACATCCGATGGAGGATTATACATGCTTCACCTTGAGATAGAGAAAAACTGATTCGGTCACAGAAGCAGAAATTTTTATTTTTTTTTCCGGCTGCAAGGAGTTATTCAACTTTCACGTGTAATTCAACGGGAGATAGATTTCGGATTTACCTACTATGAGAGATCTGTGTTATATCTTACAGGGAATATAAACTCTTAAGGAATATGCTTTATAAATTATGGAAAGTCGTCAATTGCATTAGAATTTTATTGCAGTTCGTCAATGGGATGTAGCACGAATCGCTGGAGATCAATGGAAGAAAAGCGAGATCAGGATAACCTACGTAAGAGGTCCAGAGATATCTGTATAAGTCAAATGGATTATCATAGAACATTGCAGTTTTCAGTTAGTGTTTGACTGTTTAATTGAGAACTTCTGTTCTCAGCGAGTGATATCGAATAGGCATGTCTTAACAATAGCGAGGGAAAAAAACTAAGAGTCAAACAACTTTGAGCTGATACTATTTAAAAACTATGACCTTCCGCAGAAAAGGAAGGTCATTTTCGTGATCAGTGGTGTCTCCCAAACACCGCTATACCCCGTTGGTCAGGTAATTTCGGAACACCCTGTATAATCTACATATATTATTTATAACTTTACTGTATTTCACGCATATCATTGATAGGACAATATAATCGATCGACGAATGGATAGATAATATAACAATAACAATGATAATGTTACTATAATTATATTACAGCAATATTAAAGTTTATTAAAAGAAATTGTTTCGTGTTGAACCTTTTATGTCTACTGAGTACATTATTTTTACGAAAAAATAGCTTATATTAATAATAATGTAAATAATGTAATAAGATTAGAAAAATAAGGTAATAACAATGTAAACGTTATATTCTACTTTGGTTCAATGCAGTAATAAGTTGAATTCTCACAAAACTTGTACACATTCGTATTCTATAACGATTACGCAATTGTGATTCGCTGTGTTTGTACATTATCTACAAATCTACATATGAAATACAAATAAAGGTATTTTTGCAGTACATAAGAAACTTATACAGTACATCATAGGGCCAGCATGCAGTTGCCACATGCAATATTACTGTTTAGTTACTGCTTTAAAGATATATGTATATTTACATTATATACTGGAACTGATTTTCGATCTTCAGAATATTTGAAATATCAGTACCTTTTACTTACGTTCTCAACAGATAAGAAGCTTCAGACTAGACTTATACCAAATCTATGTGCCAGTCGTGGTGAGTGTGTTGTTGCTACAGCTAGAAGCAAAGGTATATCCGCTGCATCTAGGTCCAGGTCAATATTTAGGTTGGCTATGCTCGCCTCGCACTCCTCCATGGACATGAGACTTTCAGAAAGGGCTTTGCTGCGTAGCCACATTTCTCTTAATTTGCTCTCCAGCACTTCGACACACTGCAATTTATTATTTCTAATTAAAATAACTATACCTTTATCTTGCCTCGACGAAGTTTGTTCTATTTCTCAAATAGAAGCAAATCTTAAAACTTACATGGATTGGAGAACGGTACTTCTTCCATACATAAGAAAAAGCCTCCAGCATGTTGGCCACAAGTCTAGACATGCCGACACGTACAGGTGGATTCTGTGACGGTAAATGATTCGACAGAATTCCAACCTGCCAGGAGTCCAGATCAGCAAGAATGCACATAGCTTCAGTAACTGGCTCATCTACTAGTGAAAATCTACTAGCCAGATTTACCTCTTCGCGCATACAATGCCACCATTCTTTATTATCATCACTGTCTCCTTCTTTACCCTTTTCAAGTTCTTTCTGTTTCTGATCTTGCATCGTCGTAAAATCTTCGCTTTTCCTTTTCCGTTTTTTCTTGCGCTTTATCAGACCTTGCATAACAAGACCCCATGTGTATGCTACAATATCTTCTGAGTCAATTCCGTCATAAACCTTCCTATGGAGTAAAGTGCTTGGGAAACCTGCCCGTTCTTTACGTTCCATTTTATCATTGAGTATTTTTTTTGACCTGTAATATAAATCGATTAACTTATCATTTCCATTACAATATAATAGCCAAGTGTTTACGGCAAGACAATTACTACAATAATTATTATTAATGCTTAAATCTGCTTTTTAATTAGTTCTATCTGTAGAAACACAGTACACATACACGGTATAATGAAGTTAAAAGCAAGTAAATCTTTTGCACCATTGCCCTCCTCTATTATTGTAATGTTTTACGAGAATGTTAGCCCCGTGTTATTACTCTTGTAATAAAGAAATGTAATCCTTGCTTTTCACGTTATCACCCTGCATACATATCCCATATTCTTATATGGAAAAATTAAAGTCAAAATAAATAAACTAACAGACTAAAATAATAAAAACTATATACACACCGGGGCATAGGTAATTCCACGACGCCATTAGCTTCAATGAGAGCTTCCAAACTATTATATCTTTCGATTTTTGCTGTGCCATTTTTAACGTTATTTCGGTTACTATCTGAAGTTCTACCACTTGTATTGCAACTTCGGAGCACTTCCGTTGCATTAGTTGGAGTCTCCAAAAGTAACTTGTTACTTTCATAGTTCTGTGGTGTACTGTAATCACTGTTACGGTTGCATTTTAAACAGAAACCCATAGATCGTTCTGTACTGGAGCATTCTGGTCCTGATTGAATACTCTTCGAAGACTCTGGGAAGTTTCGCTGGATGATTTTACGTAAGACACCCTCTGGAAGTTGAGCCGAAGTACTTGGAACTCTGGTGAATGTAAAGGAACTTTGACAGTTGCACCTGGAAGACGGTCGGTGTAATACTGAAATATTTGGTGGTTTCTCTTCTTCTCCGAGTGTCCACAGCACCCGGGATTGTTTTTCGATTTTTGTACCTATCGAGTGGCTAGTAGCGTTTGTACCATTATACGTATCACTATCTATATTGTTATCTTCAAAGTAATCGGAATACAACTTTCTGGCTTCTGTGTTACTCAAATTAGCGTATTCATAGGACAGGGTCGAAGCATTTTTTTTTGTATTACTGATAAATTTCGATGTTATGCCTTCAAATTTCTTATGCATACCGAAATTCGTAGGTGAAGAATTTTTTGGTGATCCTGTTGTTAAGATTTTCGAGTCTACTTTTTTTGATTCATCAAGGTCTATTTTTAAAATCTTATCGAAACTGCGAGGTTGGTTTGTTTGAACTGTGGCCACCTTTATGTTCTGAAATACTCCGTCAAGGGTGTTGCTTAACTCAAACATCTTGGCTTTCTCGAAGTTCTTTAAATTATCGATGCTCTTTAGGGTATAAGATTCATTGTCCGATTTTCCTTTCGCTAGTTGGAGTGAAATATCAAGTTCGTATTTTTTTGTGCTCTCAAAATTATGAAACTGTGAAGCGGTTTGAAGGTGCTTCTTGTCCACTGTGATTTCCGTCGGTGGACTCTCGCTTACAATTATTTTTACTTCACTTGCTTTGTATTCTTCCTTAAATATGGATAGTTTTGATCTTTGTAATTCGCTAGATTCCTTTACAAATGATCCGAATGCATTAAGATTTTTTTCAAAGGTTTCACTGCGTTTCATAGCCAAACTTGAGGTTTTATTCCAAGGTGAAGACAAGTTTAACTTTAGCAGCTCATCTTGATGCCAAGTAGAAGATCTGGAAGCTGAACTCTCGTGCATGAATTTCGAACAACTCCGGACACGTTCCTGTAATTTAGGCTGCCTCTTCCTAGCTTTTTCTAAGACAACAATAGCTTCCTGAACATCCTTTTGATGAGGACAACGGTATTCTCTTTTCTTCTCCACTATTCCACTCCTCACGAAGTACGATAAAAAAGTAAGAACGGCATTGATAAGTTCTACCTTATCTGGGTCGCCGGCGATTACGGTATGGACCAACTTCATAGGATTTCCTACCGCCCCGTATAGATCACCTAACTGCGTCCATAGCGGATTGCATGGATACTGCTTACCCAATTTCTTTACCTAAAAGTTTATAAATCCTAATAATTCATAGAAAATGTTTAAGAAATCTACATGATTCATTATTACTGTATAAAATTGGTGATAAGATTTGCGAAACCGGACTTGTAAATATGCAAAGCATTATATACTATCATAATCGGATAAGGATGAACAATTAATAATATGTATTATTATTATTATTATATGGAGAAACTCATGAAATCCGTGATTGTGCCTCCTTCGTTTCCAGGAGTATGTAGCGATGAGAATTTATGTAGAGTGCTGTCTAGAGTGTGTGATTAAGTTTCTACTATGACCCAGTTGTATCAAGCAAACACTATATAATTAATACAGCCATTGGTTATAATTGCTCATACCAATTGACGATCCTGCGATGATAGCACAGTGTGCACCCAGCCAAGATGACACGTTAACACTGCAGTTATGACGGTACTCAGGAAACTAAAAAGTAAAAATTAGCGAGGTGAGAATTTCTTTATGTTTAAAAGGAAACTTGTTACTGTTGTTACTAATGTGCCAAGTACTTCGACACCTTCTTTAAATGCTTGTTATTCGTTATTTTAATTGCCATTTTAAATATATGAAATATCCTAATTGCAGCTACTAATTGAATAGAAAATGGTCGTTGCATAATTTCAGGTGTTAAGAGCATAATAAATAGTACGATTTTCTTATTATATAATTTATATACAGCCTCAATTAAAATCGGATAGCGATTTGTAACTAATCATTGGAAATACACTTTCGATCAAATCTAAAGCGATTGTTTTGTTCATTTTAGAATATCAAATACCTGTTTATCACAAATTATAATAAATTAATATTTTTAATTTTTATTCATTCTTCAACAACTGACAAAAAAATTAATGGAATTGTCAATCAGCTTTTTGAATTCATTTTTTATCAAATTCCGAATGGGGTTTTAGTTACCTCATTAAGATTTAATTCATTTTAATTAATTTATTTATTTCTATTCTTTTATTTGCAATCTATTTGAGTCTCTACCACCTCTTTCATATATTCGTTTTAATACTCTATAAAAAATATTTTATTAACCTTTTCTATTTTAATCAATTTGTGTAACGAATGGAATTTTATCTAATCTTTTTAATGCTAAGCGAAAAATAAGAAATTATGGTTTCTTATTCGATTCATTCTGTATGAGGATTCGTGATCTACTCTGATCAGTTTAATTTTTATTTCGAATCGTATTAAGTGAAGCATAATTCTAAACATTAATCAATTCAATTCAATTTCAAAGTTCAAATTAATGAAATAGTTATATTTATTTGAGAAAAATTTGCAGATAAAATATTTTCTAAATGTATTCATCTCAAAACGTTAAATTCGTCGGCTTTGATTTTGTTTATTGAATTGAGTGTAATTTGAAAATTAAATTGATTTTGATAAATTATTAAATAAGGGCTTCCCCATGGTGTCAGGCTCACATCTCCTGCCTTACGTTACCATTATTTTACTCTGTTGTTTCCACCATTATATTATTTCTATTTGTTTCAATACGAATTAAGGAATTCGGAAATCGCATTAAAATGGATTAAAAAAACTGAATTCGGTTCATTTTGTCTCAGCTGTTGGGTTACTCTCTTGCGCGATTAAGATCATTAAAATATTATCAAAGAAATAATTTGTATAATAATGATACATTTCAATTAACCCGCCACCGTCTACGTTGGGTCATAGAGGCCAGGAGAATTTTCAAATAAGGATATTTTATTTACATATACCGCTCCTAAAATGACCTCTAAATACGAATATTTTAGTTACATGGAAGAACCCCATAGATCTCTAGTGAGGCCTTACAGACCATGTAGATAACGGTGTTTCTTTTTGTGACGTAAACAGCGTCGGATTAACTTCTGAAAATCAGGAAATCTATTTATATGATAAAAAGAGAACTTTAAACATATATATCCAAGTAGGATAGTTTTATCAAAACCATAGCTATTTGTTAAGAATAGTACAATTTCATTTATACAAACTAAAATGCATACACGAATCTGTTCCTTCTTTAACTCATACTGATTTATAATACTTACAAATTTGTTGACTTCGTGTCGAGGTTATCAACTAGCCAAAACATTTTTTGAAGTTCGTGGTAAAGAGTTGTAATTCTTATCTCCGCTGGTACAGTAGAATTCAATAAAATGTCATGCCAAAGTAATGGAGTCGGCGAACGACTTGAGTCTGTGAGTAATCGCAATAACCATAGTGTACAATTCGTAGAAGCCCGATACATCCGTGCAATGAGACTTTTGTTGATTACATTATTGTTTGTCTTGCCTTTTCCTTTACCTTTCCCTTTACTCTGGGAATAGCCGCAAGACGTACTCGATGACTTTTCAAAACAAGTACAGCAGAGACGATCTAGCATACCTTCCAAAAATGTTATATGTTCCAAAAGAGTCTCTTCCATTTTTCTATTAAAAAAAAATAGTAAGTTTTAACATTTTCAATATAATTGTATATAAAAACTTGTTAAACGTAGCGAATGAAGCTGTTTAAATAAAAAGTTTCCGTTGAAGGACGTGTAATCAGTAAACTGATTTTTATACTGCACCTTTCATACCCAGCAGTTAGCTGTACTAGCATAACAAGACCTAAACGAGTTTTGTGCCTTCGGATATGGAACTCATGATCATCTGGGTTATCATAATTTGGATTATTAGCATCACCAGCATGCTGTTGGCCTCCATAGAGACAGAGCTCATTGGATTCTGAATGACTTAAGGATGTAGAGACAGCTCGAAGCCATCGTCTGCGAAGGCTGCTCAAACTTCCTATACCAGAGGAGCCACTGCTTTCCAAAGATTGTGAACCTGAGTAAAAGTTTATGTTTATGTTAAACATATAATTGAAATGTTGTACTGGGAGAAATAAATTCATATATATATATTAATCTCGCTTGTGCTCATTTAAATACATATGTGGTATACATATAGTATATAATGTTTTTGAGTCAGGATATAATTTTGTTTGTCAATAACAAATTAGTTTATGATATAGCTATATGTCATACAGACAAATGTAATCGCGCTAATAAATTTATATTACAATTATAGATAAATAATTCATTATGAGGTACATAAAACATTAACAATAAGTTATTGTTAGTAATTAACTTACTTCCTGGTGGGGAGAGTGTGTCCATAGTCCATCCACTGCCATTACTGGAACTTGTAGAATTCTTTCTCGTGTCGGGTATAAGACTATTTCCAGATGAATTCACAGAACTTGGATAGGAAACTATGAATACAAAAAAAAACAAAGCACAGTTAACACATGACTGTAATTTTACTACACTTTCATGCTCCCCAATATCCCTTTTATCGTGATTATCAAATACTGGTTAGGTTACTTACGATAAGTTCGTAAACTTCCATCACTGGAATTGGAATCAATATTCATAAATTGTCCCAGTATTTCATCTGAATGCCTGTTATTACTGGAATGAAACATTAATTTCTATAATTGTAGCGAGTCTATAATATTGTTATTCATATTTTAGTTACATATTAATTGTTTGTAACATACAAATAGTAAACTATAACAGTTTTTTTAAGGAATAACAAGGTATCCAAAATATCATATTTCTTACATTTGTTTACACGCATTATGTTCTGGAGCAGAAAAAATTTTGGTACACATTATGCAAGGAGGTGTATCTATCGCATGGACCTGAAATGATAATCTGTCAGTATTACGTATCAACGTGCATCCATAATAATGATTGAAACAAAATAAAAATAATCTTCCTTTATTACCTTAAATGATGGACCTCTATACGTCATTGCAACAGTACCAAACACCATTTCACTTAGTAATTTGACGTCGTCACGAGCCACCTTTTCATGCTGCAAATGAAATAATTACAATCGTCTTGTGAAATATATTTAATATCTTTATAATTTGAATCTTAAACACGTGTATACCCATTTTTATGTTATAGAAAGCATAGTTTATATCTTAATTGTACATAATTTTAATAAAAATAGCCAATCACATTAGTTTCACAATATTTGCATGTAATTAATTAACTCTATGCAAATCTTGTACAGTGAAAATGTAACAATTACAATGTATGATACATAAATCTGTAAACATCCAATATTTTATTATAATATAAAAGATATATACAGTATCGGAGTGCCTTCCAAGTTCTGATAAAGCAAGCTGCAATGTTTTCAAAATGTTGACATTTACAATTTCCAAATGTGGCTCCAACCTGGAAGCCAATTTTAAAGATATGTACAGTATTTGTAACGTATGATATGCACAAGAACATGATTTGCATCACTTTTGATTCCTACATTTTATGTATAATATTCAATTCCAATATTGTACAATACCAGTATACCATACGATTATACAATAATAAAAAAATATGCACAATCACTTAAACATGATTATGTAGTGACCTTATTCTTACATTACCTCATAAGTGATCCCATCCACAATTTCAACATGTGACTCATTTTTTGACTCCAAATCATTGTTTAGTTCATTTTTTTGTGACTTGATAGAATTGATCTTCTTGACAGCAATGGAATCAAATAGCAATTTTTTACCACGCCACTCACATTCTTGGAATAACAAGATTCTTACTTGATCTGTATTGAATTTTACCAAGTTCCTAAAAGAAACAAACAAGATAAATAATATGTAGAAGTAAATAAGTATGTAAAGTAATTGACATTTTCACAATGATTTGATATAGCAAGAAAATATAGTTAAATCTTATAAAAAATATAAATAAATGAAATGTAAATAATAAATTAGTATATATTCTATGTTTTGAATCGTTTATACAATTATGATTCTTAGCTTATGTGTTGGTTGTTTTAACACTAGATTTACAGAATCCATCAATTTGATAGATTTCAAATTTCATGTATAACCCTTAAACTCCATATTGGTATGAATTGGGAAATCTCACCACCCAGTGTGGAATTGAAAGATGAATGACCTAGTTGTAGAATTTAAGAATTGAAGTTACAGAAACCATAAATATTAATTTTTTGCAATTTATGTTATCTTTGATAATCAATGTCCTTAAATCTAATGTTAATACAAGTTTGTAAGTAATCGACTAATACAGAAATTAATTTGAAAGTATTTAATTTAAATATATTAGATTCATTGCTTCAAATTGTATTGATATGATATAAAATTGTATAAAAATATGAATAGAGATTATAATAGAGATTATAATATTGAAAGATAAAGTTGACAGATACATGTTATATTTAGTATGAAACACTATTTTAAATTCAAATTGATTTTTGTAATTGTAATTATAATCCTTTTAACGAGTAATTAATATTAGTATACAAAACACCATAAATATTTATTATGTTTAAATTCAAAAAATCATTGATTATTTTATATATTTGAGTCATTAGTGTTATATATAAATTTATTCGCGATATGTGCCAAAAAACATTACAAATATGGACAATAAATCTATGAGAAGTAAACGTATAAAACTTCCACTCTAAATATATATGAATATGATTAAATTTTTGAAACTTGAGTCAACAAACTGAAAGAAATAAGGTTATGTTTGCAATATAGACTTTCACAAAAAAAATATGATTGTCACGAGGTGTTATCTAGACACACAAATTCAGTGCTATTTAAAACGTCTGATAGAAATAAGATTTCACAATGTTCTAAAACGTCTCGACATGTCCTGAAAAGTGTAAAAAATCAATCATAAACCATATTTAAAGTATCCTTCGTGGTAATATGGTCTTACCTATCGTCTGCTTGAAATCCACAATTTCTCAGAAATTCCGAATACACAGCGTCTTTACGTCGTTTCGTTGTATTTCTCGAAGAGATGATTTTGTCGAGCAAAGGCATCATAGACCGGCTACTCGACTAGATTCCCCGCATCGCTGTGAAAATTCGATTTGACGGGATATCATGTCACGTAAAACAGCACCATACATTATTCGCCAGTTCTTAGCCAACTGTAAATAAAGTCACGTGCGGCGAAGTCATATGATTGTGAAACAACTACGAGATAAAATGAAAATGTCTCCCACTGCGATGGATTCTACCCGCCAATTGGACGTGCTAACACGAATACGAATGCCCTGTCTACCCCACTAGTCGTGGATCTTAACGCTCTGATGGGACAGTATTTATGCGTTGATGACGTCATTTGCGAAGTTATATAGTTTTAAAGTAATCTGTACCTAAGTTCACGCTGACTGCTTTCGCGATATGATATGAGGAAGAATCTAATGCTTAAGTACATTTTAGAAGTAAGCGTAAAAAGTATGGCTTAGAATTTTTGAAATATTTAATCTGTATTGTAACGTATACATCCGAGGATATTCGTCATCGCGGTAATAATAAGATCCTGCTAACCCGAATAACCCTAAATATCAAGTAATAACAATTCGTAGGCATCGCGACGCTCAATTCTTCCGCACCTCTCAGGCCCCCTGGCCGACCGTTGACGGGTATATTAACGGCGACGTTTCGCGACTCGAGCATTCTATCACTTGAGCTAGCTAGGTTACCTTTAGTAAAATAAACGAGCAAACCGTCTCGGGCAAGCGGGTAAACCGTCCCACTTGACCATCATTTCTAGAGGTACTTCTACTCTTGTAATCGAACAAACCGTCTCGGGTAGGGAGCAAACCGTCTCTTCTGCCAGATAGAATCAATCTCTGCATTTCAGTTGGGCCGTCACTTTGATACACTTGATCATTGTGCCGTTTCCGCTATACATGCCATCCTAACTTTATTCAAACACTTGCACAACTAGTTACTTTGCGAATGAGACTTCTCACCTAGCCAAGATAGCAACGTTGTTTTTAGATAGGACTACGTCTACCTGTGATCACGAGTTCCCTTGTGGAAAACTGCTCCACAGCACGACGATTATATTTTAACGAGTCAACTCTGTAATCAAATTCCGCTGGTCGGAGGCTGCTCTCAGACACGATTCTATATTTTATTGATACAATCAAAATAAGAGCCAATATAGAATCACACGAGACTAGAAGTTTACCTACGATTTTCGTCAGACATATCGTATAGGTAAACTGCGTGTAACAACCGTATTAATACAATTGACTGTCCGATTACTAAACTGTTGTATATACCATCTATAATTTTTCTTACTGTCCGCTTACGTTTATATCTATTCTTCGCTTATTAACATCCAGCATTCTCTAGGCTGGACCTGCACTAAAACTTATTGTATTCCGTTGTAGGATAATATATTTTCTTTTCTAATTTGTAAAACAAAATCTCACTTTCATTTGTTCCGCCTGATATTTTTCCTAAATTCCTAACAGTCGATTCTGGCTTGAACCCGCCTTTTTGGCACATTCCGGAGAACCGTATCGTGCGATTAAGGTTACAGTATATACATAGAAATAAAAACGAAAAAGATGTCACCTGGCCTATAATATATAATGTAATGTAACTAATGAGAAAATCGATCGAATTTACGCAATTATTACGTGACATCCGTTATGTAATGATATATTTCTGTATATTTTATTGTGTATTTTTGTATTATTTTATACAGTGTTATTCAAAAATTTCGCACGGCTTGAAGATCGTGCTACTATATAAATCAAATGAATAAAGTTCCGAAAAACGCATACTTCCCGCAATACCCGCAAAATTAATTTAAAAAATGGCAATTTTTCAAGAAAAAATACTTTTCTGATATTTTTTCAATAAATATTGATTATAGAGAGAAAAGTTAGAAATAAAAATTGTAGCTTGTAAAAAATTACATCTTTTATGTCATATGCATTTTCATTATAAAACTATTACGTTTCGAGAAAAATAAGATAATGTTAAATAAGCGAAAAACTAACCAGTAGTATAAGTTTGGGAGTTCTGGATATAGATTCCTGCACCGACATAATACCGACACTCCAGAGCCTTCGAAGGTGGGTGTCCGTGCTAAGTTGCCGTCGTGAGCTCTACGATTTCTGAAAGTGACGTCATCAGAACCCTCGATTCCAAGAATTTTTGCTCGATTCCGGGAATTTTGCGTCACATTCCGGGAATTTTGCGCTCGATTCTAGGAATTACGCACGATCGAGAACCTTCCAGAACATTCTAGAACCTTCGTCGTCGGAGGGCTAAGGAATATTCCGGAAGATGCATGAACCTTGACATCGAATCTCTGTAGGCGATTCGATTCCTAGAAATCTGCGAAACCTCCCATCCCTATTTTTTAACCCTTGAGAATTTCCTATAAAAGGAGGAGCTGAGCTTCGTTAGTTTGCTGCAACAATTTGGATGATACCGCATAAGAGGAAACAACGTGAGTTCGAGTACAGTTACTGTTAAGGAATATCACAGAAGTGAAAC